AATCGCAGGGGGCAAATCATTGATGTATAAATTAAATAAAATGGGTCCTAAGTGGCTACCTTGAAGTACGCCAGACGTCACGGGGAATTCATCCGAGATAATGAGGTTAAATAAAACCCAGAATGATCTACCATGCAGATAAGAGCTTAACCATTCCACTTAGAAGAAAGGTTAGCCAGAGGCTTGGAGTTTAAAGATAAGTAGTCTATGGTTAACAAAATCAAATGCTTTTCTTAAATCAGTGTATATAACATCTGTGCGAGAGCCACTAGAAAAAGCCTTGAAAACATGACAAGTAAGCTCTAACAAGTTGGTGTCTGTAGATCTTCCTTTTCAAAAACCACGTTGGAGAGGAGAAATATACGATTTCATGGAAAAGGCTATATGCTGAGCCACAATTCGCTCAAACAATTTAGGCAAGACACTCAACTTGGCAATGCCTCTGTAGTTCTCTACAAGTTGCCTACTATCACTTTTGTGAATAGGAATAAGGAAACAAGTCTTCCAACACAAAGGACCCTATGTCGACCTATTATTATGAACAAATCTGCAACAAGAGTTATCGAAAATCGAGGTAGCCATCACACAGCGGTTGTTGCCGCGAAATGGCGAAAATTACACGACATTTTGTGTCGAACATTCTTGCAATTATTATATCACCTTTCATTTTTGTTTGATTGCCGGGTATATGAATTTAAAAGTTGAATTTTCAACCAAAAGTTGGTAATCTTAATAAAAAGAGCTTAAATTAATTTATTAAAGACCTCGCTATTACTCCGAATAGAAAATATAAACGCAGGACTACGAAAAAGTAAAAATAGTGCTTGAATTATACACGGCAACATATTAAAAAAGTTATATCTCGAAAAACAATGTAAGAATTGTATCGGAAATTTCGCAACAAGGCTAAAAAGAAGATTTTCTTCTGAAAAATTCCCCTCTCTTAATTTCAAATGGTGATGTCGGGGTAAGCTATAACTACTTTCACATATTTTCTAATACTACCATTTGAACCCTAAAATTCTGCCACTTGCTCATGAGCAATAATATAGAACATGCTTGGGTAATAGATAAATATAGTATCGAGAAGTCACTATTTTCGCTTATCACTGTTCGGTGTAGGAAGTATCACAGTCGCCTGATTCCATTCCCTACATGCATTTAATAAATGAGTGGTGTCGTTAAATCGTTGTTTGTCAAAATAGTGACGTAACAAACACTCACAATAATTAAAACTTTCCGTACCATAGACGTACTCGACTGCAATTTACTTTTAGCAAGAAACTCGAATTTTTACTGCACAAATTTATTAATTAATTTCAGATGTGTAATCACATATGAAAAATGTAACTTCCGCTCAAAAGTATGCCAACATTCTGCAAGCTCTACTTTTTTACATTCTAAAAGTATGTTAACTAGGTTAGCATTAATCTTAAAACTATTATTAATTCCCACATGGTTTCTGACAGAATATGCAAAATTTAACCTATCTTCTTATATTTGCTTTTATTGAGGCCCACAAGAACCGTTCATTTTAGTAGTCATTTTAATTGAGGATTTTGAACCAGGATATATGAAGTTAGGCATAATCTCAAATAATGAATTGATATGAATTTGATAACTGGGTTTTCTTCAAAATAAGGTTGTGCGATGGGAATTGCAGTAAAATTTCTAATTCTACCTTAAATTTTTTTATCTTGAGACTAGATGTTACATTATTTTTCTTTTGACATATCTAATGTCGGTACTTTGTTAACCAATTGAAGCAGCTGCCTTTGTTCAATTTTTGTCAGAAAGCAAACATAAGAGGTTTGTGATATGTGTAGATGATAACTGTGCGGTCTTCCAAGAACTACTGCAAATGCTTAACACCAGAATATATTGCTTGTAGTTTTCAATTAAAAGCGTCGGGATTGTGTTTTCGGAAAATTTTTTGAGAAAAATCCAAGAAGACCCAACATAATGAAAGTAATAATGAAAGTATAGTTGTAGAACTCCTTCCATAGGAAAATCTGAAACGTCAATTCAAAGTCATAGAGGTCGATCGGGCAAGCTAGAAGTGAAGCGTCGGTAAGTTACTTTTTGCAACAATCTAACGGTCTTCTAAGTTCATCTGTGCAAACATTTTTCGTTTATCGTTTTTCTTTTGACCTTGTTATGTACAATGGAGAACTCCTTGCGTCTCGACTGCTGATGAATTTTCAATCATAATGAATCGAACTAAGAAATTAGCTAAGTTCGTATGTTTCTATTGGTTCTACACGTTTTGGATTTGGTAATATTTTTTTTATGTTTTGAAATATCCTAGCAATGATAATTCACTTTTCTTAAATACGCACTTTACAAATTTTATTGTTAAGTCATAGAATCTTTAGGCTCCTTTAAGTTATGGGCAATGTAGACATAACAAAATTCGAGGTCTTTTAAGGACTTCATCCACATCCCGTTGAAATATTTTTGCAGTTTGGCAGTACACAAACCAAACGTAATTCTTGTAAATTCGAAAAGTGTTGTTGGTGGGATAATGGCTGTTTTGGGATATCTGCTTTTTCAACAGGGGTTTAGATATAGGCGTTCACCAAATCTATTTTAGAAAAGATCCTGTTGCCATGTAAATTATATAATTATAAAATAGCCGAAAAACGGTGCAAATATGTTCCACTGTACCTATCCGGAGGCGTAATTTTATTGAGAATTCTAAGGTCACCGCATGGACACCATTTTACCTGTTAGAGCTTGAAACAAGGTGTAAAGGATTAGCCCAACTGCTCTTCGACGGATGACATATGCTTAATTGCATCATATAGTTAAATTTTCTTCGTACAATGTCAAGTTTTTCAGGAGGTAATCTCCGCGGTTTGCAATGAGCGGAAGGTTCCTTTGTTTGAATGTGATGAGTGCCTGAATGTTTAACAGCTGGTAGGGTAATGCCTTTAAATTCCGATAATAGAAGATGAAATGGTGAAATTTCGGGAACTAAGCAAATTTTAATATAGAAATTATTGTTCTTGGTTGCTTTGAAACAAGGTGTGGTTAACTTTGTTGTGCTATCGATCAGACGTTTTCACGTTTTGACGTCAACAAGTGATCCAAAATGTTCCTGAAAGTCAAAATCGATAATTGGTTGTGGAGCATTTGCAATCACAAATTTCTATAGCAATTGTCGCCTTAAATGAAGGTTTAAATGCAAAATGATAATGGAGTTATTTGTTTGGTTTAGACGTTTTTGATGGATAGATGGTGGAATTACCGATGCACCGGCTTCTCCGTCTATTGGATACCTAAAATTGTGTCCTACAGAAGCACGACATATGTATAACTTTTCTCCATCAGTCAGCTTGGACGAAGGATTTATTTCCGTTTGATTTTTACTGAGGATCAATATTTGTAAGGATTAATGCCAAACTTGAAATGATATCAGCACAATCGTTCAGATGATACAAATGATGCTATTTTATTCCAGTTGCGGCTTCTGTTCTGATTTCGTGCGCGATCTTGGAGCTTAATTCCATCGATACGTTAGGATAACTCATTTTGGGTCAAAGCTTTTCATTGCAATTTGTCTAAGGCACTATGCTTACAAAACGACGGTCCAACTGGTCATAAATCTTGTCTGCCATAACCGTGAGTTTATCAAAGCTGTCTAAGCCGGCTCATAAAATGATTGTTCACGGTAACCGTTAGAACCTACATATTGAACCAGATCGTCTGATACTTTTTCGGGAGATAGTTAACGCATTTCAGATTAAGATGTTGAAGGTTTTTTATCACCAAGATGAACATCTTCCAATAATTTTTGCATATGCTTTTTTTCAGAATCTTGAAATTCGCTTAATAACGCGTTTTTAGAGCACCTTATAATGGGTGACTTACTGTGACTTCAATGAGGTGACTTACTGCGTTAAGGACATCGTTTTCAACAGAACTGACTTTGGTAGTAATTCTGACTGTAATTGATTAAACCAAAGACGGGGGTTAGTCTTCCAGAAAGGTGGTGCCATTACAGCAATACGTGAAATGTTGTTTGAAATGTGGTGCTGCTGTAGCCGTAGGTCAATTATTCCTTGGAATTTTGGAAATTCTGATAAAAATTAATGAGCGTACTAATAAGTGTTTCACGAAAAAAAAAGGGTATGCAAAAGTGCACGTTTTAAGTTCAATCAGAAAATGTGGTAATTTACTTTTTCGTCGGAATCAACAATGTGGTGTCGTTAAATCATTGTTTGTCAAAATAGAGACCCAACAATAATATTCCATAGCAAAATCAATCTTAAAACTGTTCTTAACATATGTTACAGTGACCTTTTTCTCTATTACAGAGGAAGATTTGAGCGCTATCAGTCACTAAGCAATGTAAAGCTGCAGGTTTATTGATCATATTATAAAGAGCGGTTTTTACATTGAGTTAGCTTAAGAGCGCGTTTGCTTGAAGTTTTTTTGTTTCAATATAGTTTCCACGTAACGAGTCTTAAAAAAATTGAAAGAAAATTTCCGATAATTGTTCCCGGGATGGCACTTGACTTGTTTCATTTTCTTTTCTTTGCTATAGAAACCCTGGTACTCCAAAGTCGTCGTATGGCTTTTAGAGAATTTTACACAGAAAAAAAGAAGAAACAATATACATCCGATTCTGTTTAAGATGCGCACAGTTCATTTTGCTATGCCCTATTGTGCCTCCCACTTATGCGTTTGTCGTCTATACTTCGCAAGTGTTGAAGCATAGAGTTGGACCTGGGTTTCCATTGTATGTTCATAGTCTAAGTTAGAAAATATCTCTAATATACATGCCTATAATTTTTAAAGAACAAAAAGAATCTAAAAAGAAAAAAATTTTGTAGAATATCGTAATAATTTTATTTATAATATTATTGTATCGGGCTAATTGAGTTGTTATCATATCCATATTGTGAATTTCTATACATTAACATGGTGGTCGTTATTCAATACGAATGAAACTTTCTAATTCACTGAACTGGTTTTTAATATCCTTTTCTTTGCAGAAACGGCTGAGAGACACAATGCAGTTGCAGTATTGCAACTGGCCCGCAGTTTGGTATTACAATTGCAAACGATAATTGAAAATAAATAAAAGTGAGACCAGAAATCGAAACCAAAATATACCGCATAGACGTTTTTAATACCATATTAACCATAGCGACCATAGTAGATATAGTTGCATAGCAGCTCACAGAATTTATAAAGAAATTTATCTCATAAAACAAAACAAATTTGTTTTTTATTAATCTTGTAAACGAGCTCAAAAATTGTATTAAAAACGCAGGTAGATAATACACAAGACATCTCATAAAGAGCTTATAATAGATGGTATGAAATAGTGTTCGTTAGAAAAGGGGTTTTTGTTAGCACTCGCTGACAATAAAATATTTTCCGAACCAGAGAGCCAAAGATAAGATAGAACAAGTAAGAGAATTATATTTGGTCGTGACCGAATCTTTTATACGCATCACCGTTATCCTAAAAAAGACAAACGGATTAAAAGAACTATATTTTCATGCTCCACAATATAGAGTGGGCGCAGCTGATTTTTTATATTTTTCAAATAAAAGTGTGGGTGCTACGGGCTTGTCCTATGAAAAGTTTATGTCCCTCCCAAATTCTTTTGCAAATTTGTAGGTGATATATTCACTTTCGTTGACGGGAGAATGTTTACTGCAAATACTGCACAGTTGCACAGGAAGACAGATGGACAGACGAACAGATGGACATGTTAAGGTGCATTCCAAATTTGAAACTGGTCCAGAATTTATATACTCTTTGGGGTTTTTGAAGCTTGTTTGTGCCCCTTTCAAACGAATTTAAAAAAAAATTGAATTTTGGTACATAATATTATGGAGGCTTGGTCAATTTTTTCCAATTTTGTAAAGGTGATACAGCATCGCCCGTAGAATGTGCGTTCAAATTACTACAGATTCATCTCCAATAGTTTATGAGTAAAGAACAAAAAATCAATTTTCCATTCCGTTTAAAAAATATAGGCGTGCTCAGTTTATGCGATGCAATGGCCGTGTCTTTCGACCAATCTCACCCATTTTCAATACCGACCTGCGTCCAAGAACTTTCAATAGCTTCATTTTTATGGTCAGGAGAATGTTTACAACAGACATTGCACAGACGGGCAGACGGACGTGCTTAAATCGATTAACATTTGATGCTGATTAAGAATATACATACTTTATGGGATCTCTGATGTTTCCTTCTGGGTGATGGCGCCCTCATCCTTCGGTGATGGCGATTTGCTATTGCAGTGAATGATTTGCTATTTATATTATCAACATTTTCATTATTTGCATCTTTAACTGTATCGAACGTTTATAAAGCTGAAACATACAGAATTTTGTATTTCTAAGTGGATACGCGTTATGGTATATGTATGCACAAAAATAGACCAACTATTAGGCCCGTTCCCAATATCATTTATTTTCTTCCTTCGTTTATTTCATATTGAAGAGTTCTAAATTTTAAGTTCACCAATTGCTTTACCAATTCTTAGCGAAAACATTTCAAAAAGAAGTATGAAGAAATTCCAGAATATTTTAGAATATTTTAGGATTTTATAGGGAGCCAGCCTCATGAAATAATCAGATAGTGCGCCATGTGCAATGATGCACATGTGATATAGAGAACTGGATGAAATAAGTCAACTATATCTGCAAACAAATAAGACGAATAATATATAAAGTAAGTTAATTAAATTTATTTGTAGAACATTTTTTCATATTTTTTCATAGAATGTTGGCACTGAAATTTTTTGAAGCATTTGACGAACAGAAAATTTAGAATTCTTTAGTGGGAAGTCATTTTTGTTATGTACTTAGCTTTTGATTTTTTTTTATACGTATACATTTCCATATAAGCCGTAGCACATATTCATATAAGATCACAGAAATTTATAGCTTTTTGTTTCGGAATAGTTCGAAACAGTGTAACAGTTTAACATAATTTTTGGCCAAACAGATAATAAGAATGAAAGAGCAAGCAATGAGATGGCTGCTTATTAAGAGCGCCGTGACAGCCATTAGTAGCAGAAACACTAAAAACCCCTGAGTCTTTCTCAGCTCTGATTTTGAACAAAATGTTAGGGCGTCTGAATATTTAGTTGCCGCTGTTTCGAACTACATCCTTTATAGGTATCCACATCAAATAAGAAAATTATATTCGGATATGGCTGAATCTTTTACATACTCACTTCATTGTAAACCAGGATCTGCAAATGTTTATTGCTTCAATTTTGGAGCAATGAACAAAATACCAGAGAGAATTAAATAGCATGAGTGGCTAAGAAATTTCTAAAACAAGATTTAGTGGCGGCGCTAGTAATAGGCAGCAACCTATTTGCTTGCTCTTCAATTGTCATCATTTCTTTGGGCAATAATTATGTAATTCCTCACTAAAATTAGCCAATTAAGTTGTTTCACTCTCTGCTCTCTCCTCCCACCGCTCTTCAAATAAAAAATTTTATGCAATTACTTATTAAAACTAAATACATATTCTTGTTCAGTCAATCCTTATTTATAATCTCTGTATATTGGCGAGTTATTGGCTGTAATGTAGGTAAATTTGTAGTGTAGTGTAGATAGTCGTTTATGATAATACTATGTTCATTTGGCGATATTTTTTTTCACATGCAGTCAAACCTGTTTTTGTGCGGTAGATAGGGACCGCAGAAAAAAAACCGCACAAAAAAAAAAAAATTCAAAAACTTCATAAATAGCTATAAGAAATAATTTTTCACAGCATATTAAAGAAAATTTTTTTTATGCGGTAGAGAGGAACCGCATAAAAAAAGTCTCACTTAGAAAATATGTCAAAGCTTAACGAAATAGCAAGAAAGTGATTTTCAAACAAAATAAATAATTAAATTACACATTGAAACATTTAAAAAAATTTTAATTTCTAATTTTAAACAAGGCTGAAATTGGCTGATGCAATATATGCATAAAAACATTGAGCATGCCTAATGAAATAGGCTGATGCAATAGGTATGAAAATGGCTGTTGCAATGTGTACATACACACTGATAGCAAAAAAAGTGATGCCAACACAGTTAAGATTGACCTAACCTCTCGGCGAAATTCAGTGTGTCGATATTCACATACCGCACAAAAAAGAATCGCACAAAAAGAATCGCACAAAAAAAAGCGTGTGTATTTAAGCTGTGTGAGATATATTCAGATTTTTACTTTTAAGAGATTACATTGCAATTTTTTTCCTTGTATTTAAAAAGAAAAAAAAAAGAAAGCAGGCATCATAAATATCATCAATACATCGTTTACCTTTTTTATGTGTTACATCAGACATCATATAATCAGAACAACAAAATGAACGTTCACTTTTTTGATATATTTTCCTTCTTCCTTTTTAACTTTTCAATCATGCATTTTTTAAATTTAATTTTAATAATAATAAAATTTAAATTTAATATTCACTTAAAACCACACAATTGTATATGGTTTTGCTTTATGGACGTTAGAAACCCGCAATTACTATTCTTGATAACTGCAGTCCCTAAGATTCCACTAAGTTTCATTTTGAAAAATTTCTTAGCTACAATTGTTATACGGTTTCACGTTACGTTGAATTGTACGCCTATCCTTTGATGGATTTAGCTTATTTTGACGGCAACTTGCGTGCTAAAACTTCGCGTGTTTTACCGATAATATTACAAAACAAGTAGACGGATTCAAGCGCGTGTTTAAATGAATTCACAATTTGTTTTGATCAAAAACTTGTATACAATATGGGGTATACGAAACTTCCTTCTGGATGTTGCAAACATTTTGATAAAACGAGTATACTCTCATTCTTCGGTGGTGGGTATAATGAGTGTTCTCAAGCAAGTCACGAATGAATACATAATCTGCGAAACTAAAGTTTCTCATTGAAAACTCAGTGGATAGACATTGAAACCATCTTTTTAAAACAATCGATTATGAAGATTGATTGCGATGACAATTTTACTTGATTATTGAAAAATGTTTTGAAAAAAACATAAATTGCATTCAGACTGGAAACATGCAAACTTTTAATCGCAAAAAAAATGTAGCGCCAAAATACATCATAAACGATCGGTTAGTATAACGAACTCAATATGGCCCTGACGTAAAGCTAAAAAAATCTTGCTATAATCGGTTTAGTAAAACATAAACACTTTCGTTAATGATAATTGCTGTACAATGAGTTTTAATAATAAAAACAAAAGAATTATTAGATTTTTATTAGAGGGACTGGCATATAAAGTTACTTAACCTGCATATACGTAGTTGATATTATAATATGTAGAAATCAATATAAATTTAGTAGAACACATATCATGTTATTTTTTTTCTTAAACATCAAACCAATGCAGGAAAAAAGAAGAGTTTTGTTTTAATGGCTGGGACTCTAACAGTTATAGTTTATTGTTTTTAAGTATTACTAGATTAACACCAACAATGAGAAGACACTTTTTGTTATAACGAAAGTTACTTGAAAATTTGCATCCAAACATACAGATACCTTCATATGTGAAACGAAACGCATATAATATGTAGTTATAGAGAAAAAAATCAACAATCAATACACACACATATTGTTAACTACGTTTCCGTTTAGGCAAAAGAAATTGTTAACTTTGTTGTTTTTTTCATACACAGTGAGTGTCATTAATATTGGGTTTTTTCTCTCGACAAAAAAATAAATGTTTGTTACACTTAGTCAATTGTCCAAACATAAAAATTTATTTTACTATTTTATACTACTAGGAAATACATATTAAAATACAAAAGGAAGAAACAAACAAAACATTATTTCAATAGACAAGAGAATTAAATAATTTCAACAACTCATAAAACGTAGCGTCATTAATATTGGGTTTTTTTTCGTATAAGGAGGGATACGAAGATAGAAAGCAACATATTATTAAAAATTAATATTTGGTAGAGTATTCTTTTTATTTAGTAACGTAATTTAAACGTTTTGACATATTTTGCATAACTTTTCTTGTATAGGAAACAGGGATCTTAATCCGTTCCTCTTATAATATGTTCTTCAGGTCTTGGACGGAAGGGGTTGAGTGTTTCCGCACATGCTGGTCCAATTCATCCCACATATTTTTGATAGGGCCTGGTGATTTGTGGAAGAGGACGAAGCACTTTGGAGCAGTTATACAAGAACCATCCCTAAATTAAGGGGGACTTATGCTTGAGGCCGTTATCTTGGTAGGATTTAAATGCTTCCAAAATATCAAATTTTTCCGCGCTCTCCTTACCGTTATAGTGCGAAACATTTGAAGAAAGAATAAATTCTCAAAATTCTTATAAATAGAATCTGTAAGACAGATTGCCAGATTTTCAATTAATAGCTATTGAACGATTCATTTCTTAAAATGAAATTTTACGTTTCCCTTTAATAGCATTCAATTTCGTTTACGACTCACGCAAATAAGTTTAAGTTTACATAGTCATTTAACATTCAT